CAATCCCTTCTCCTCCATTCTCCTCTCGGGATCTTGGGCACGCACGCACACGCGCCCGGCGTGAGTTTTAAGCCACCGGGTCTGGGACGCGAACTGCGGTCGACTACGTGGGAGTCCAGCGACATAGCCATTACGCTAACTGCTGGTCCCAAAATTCGTTTTTTTAAGGTTTTTGCCATAGGGCGTGTGCACTCACCAGGGGGAGACAGTGAGTGGGAAAGTGAGAAATCACTCCCTCCAGTGGGGATGGCCTCTCCAGAGTCCCTTCTCCTCTTGGCATTGTTGGGCACACATGCACACATGGCTGGCGTGATTTTCAAGCTGCCACGCCCAGGACTCATACCATGGTGGGCCATGTGGGAGTCCAGCGTCTTAACCATTATGCCACCTGCTGGCTCCCTACATTTTCATGGCTAAAAAGTCATAGAGGATTTTTCCGTCAGTGTGTTTTCCTCTTCAGTCCAGGACTGCCCCCCAAGGGCGAGCACGTGCTAGTGAGTCTTTGAACGCCCGCATACGAGTCCTGCCGCAGCGGCTCCCTCGTGGAGGTGCAGGGACGTTCCACGGAGCTCCACACCTCAACTCCCCACACCGGGACTCACGGAGACTGTGAGGCCTTAAAATGTGCATCCTGATACTAAGTTACACATCTGTTCTCAAATCACTGAAAATTCCTCATCGTTTTCAAAGACTGTACAGTAAATGTTACATGTTATGGACATATTGTGGGACATTAATTGGCGTTTAGGTTTTTTAAACCATCATAAATATGTTAAGTATTTTCCCATGTATATATTGTTCTCTTTTTAGGCGGAGTTTTTGCTTGTTTTTCTTGTTTTTGTTTGTTTTCTTCCTCCCAGAAATCACCTAGGACTTTAGAAATGTTTAGGACTAGCAGTGTTGAGATGATGGGCAGGAACGCGTTCGCACCTTGGAGCGTGCTCTTCGCATATTTATGCAGCTGTACCTTTCTCCACAGCATTATCCCGTAGCGTGGGTGAACACCATGGTTTTCGACTTCAAAGGACAGCTGAGATCTGGAGACGTAATACTGCATAGCTGGTCTTCATTTCCTGGTAAGACTTCTATCCTAATCCTCAGTCTTAAAGAGTAAATAACATAGGAGTCAGCAGGTGGCTTAGTGGTTAAGGCACCGTACATGCACATGGCTGACCAAGGTTCAAGTCCTGAACTTGGCAGCTTGCTTTTCAATTCTCTCTCTCTCTCTCTCTCTTGCTCTGTGGTCAAATTGAAAAAATAATAATGATGATGAATGAAATTAAATAATCCTTGTAAAAAAATAAATGAGTAAAAGGTCCAGCAGGTGATGTGGTTAACAGCCCTCGACTCCCACATAGCCAACTGCAGTTTGAGTCTGGACCTGGTGGCTCGCTCTCTCTCTCTCTCTCTCTCTCTCTCTCTCTGGTCAAATTTAAATAAATAAAGAAAGTTAAATAAAATTTTACATTTTTAAAAATGAATAAATAACTTAGTTTATGGACTAGTTTTTGTGTGAGGCTCACCATTCACTCAATTGATTAAATAAACCATCATTTTTTTGTCTTTATTATTATTTTGAAATGGATTAATATACATTATTTTAACATATTCATAAAAATTATTTGTTTTTAGTGCATTTTCTGTTTCAGTGACTGTGTACTTGTTTTTAATGTTTTATTTTTACAGTGTTTTAGAGAAATTTTCCTACCGAACAATATCTTCTTTTTAATAATCTTCATTGTTCCTAGTTGTGCTAACTTTCTTCACTTGTGAAAAGTGGAAAAATTCAAGAAAATGGAAAAAATAGCAAATACACTAGATGTTTATTTGACTTTAGACTAAAATATAAGTTAGGGGAAGCACCCTTTATATGCCTATGTTCCTCAAATACTTATCAAGGTACTGTCATCAGGTGAGGGAGATGACTTTACTCCCATTTTTGTAGGTAAGGAAAGTAAAACTCAAAGAACGTACGTCTGCCTTTCGTAATTGGTCAGACTAGGATTACAATGAAAAACTGCTCAGCTCTTTCCATTGTTCTGAACTACCTTTGCAAATGTTGGAATTTTTAAAATATGTATTATTATTCCTTTCTCGCTCTTTTAAATGAATTATTTGTTTAATTTTATTTTTTATCGTCATCATCATCATTATTATTTAATTGACCAGAGAGAGACAAAGAAGGAAATTGAGAAAACAAGCTGCCATGTCTGGGACTCGAACCACAGTCGGCCATGTGCAAGTCCAGCCCCCCAAGCACCACACCATCTCCCCTTACCATCCTTTCTCTCTTTTTTAAAAAAATTCATTGTTTGGGGACCAGCAGTTAGCGTAATGGCTATGTCGCTGGACTCCCATATGGTCGACCACGGTTCGAGTTCTGTACGCAATGGCTTAAACTCACGATGGCGTGTGTGTGTGCGTGTCCAAGATCCCGAGAGGAGAATGGAAGAGAAGGGATTGCGGCGTGGCCATCCCCCTGGGAGCAATTTCCCTCTTTCTGTCTCTTTGTTTCTCTCTGTCTTTCTGTATGTGCCCAATAGCAAAAAAAAAAAAAAAAAAAAAAAAACTTGATTGTTTGTTAATATACCTAGTAAATTTATGAGCTTAGCTGAATTTTTAAGTTATTTATTTTTTGTGTTTATTAAATCAACAAATACATTTATAATTTGATAATCACAGATTGCTTTCTGATAGACAGATATTTGAAAATGTTCATATGTTAGTAATAGCTATGCAAGATACAATTTTTGAATAATAGTTATTTGCTGACATGGACTCCTCGGAATCTAGTACTTCGTGTGAGTGTGTGTGTGTGTATTCTCCTATGCCTATGTTCTCCTGCATACTAGTTATTTCTGCTAGTAATCACATTAGTCACCAAATATGGGAGAGCTCTTTGTATCTGACTCATTTCTTTTTTCTTTCTTTTTAAAAAAATTTTTGCCGGGACCAGCAGTTAGCGTAATGGCTACATTGCTGAACTCCCATGTAGTCAACTGTGGTTCGAGTACCAGACATGGCTTAAACTCATGCCGGGCGCGTGTGCGTGTGTGCCCAGGATCCCGAGAGGAGAATGGAGGAGAAGTGATTATGGCATGACCATCCCCCCCGGGGGTGATTTCTCACTTTCTGTCTCTCTCTCTCTCTCTCTCTGTCTTTCTGGCAAGGGAATGCACCCTATAGCAAAAACCTCTCAAAAAAAAAATTAAAAATAAGAAAAAAAGAAAAAAAAATTTTGCTCGTCGGAGTTGGGGTAGGAGTAGGGGAATGAGGAATTGTTACACCGCAGTCCCTTCTCCATCTTGTTTCCCCTCCTGTCGGGCTTTGAGGCTCACATCCATACTTGCCTGGTGTGTTTTTCAAGCTTCTGGGTCCAGTACTCAAACCATGTGATCAGCCAAGAGAGATCCAGCCTCCTCAGCCCCCAGGTCATGGATTGGTGTTAAGAAGAACTTTATATTACTATGAAAATGATGTATTTCTGCACTATTTTTTTCCTGAAAATCTAATTTAAATTCTCATATGTTCTCCAGAATCACCAATTTGACTAGTATTTTTAGTCAAAGTGATCATTTTTGATGGTATTATCTTAGTATTGACCTCATCTCTGAGAAAGTGCATGATGGGAGCCTGCAGGTGGCGTGGTGGTTGAGGTGCTGGATTCCCACATGGCTGCCTGCTCTTTGAGTCCCGGACCTGGCGACTTGCTTTCTCACTTCCCCTTTCTCTCTCTCTGGTCATATTTAAAAAACAATACTAACAAATGGAATTTAAAAATAAATAAATAATTGTTTTAAAGTGCATGATGAAAAATAACAAATGGACACCATTAGCTCTAAATGTATCAATTCTAAATTGTCACACTTACCCCAGTAGGGATGAGTAGGAACAAAGAAACTACAAGTTTACAAGTCTAGAATCCGCAGGTCATCATTACACGGTGTATAATCACATTGATTGTGGTTTTTTTTTTTAACTTTCCAGTATTCTTCACATGTATACTAGGAAATAAAAATGCATGTTCCTAGTACTTTCCATATTACAATTATTATTATTTTGGAGAGGTTTTTACGATAGGGCGCGTGCACTTGCTGGAAGGACAGAGACAGAAAGCGAGAAATCACCTCCCAGAGGGATGGCCACACCGCAATCCCTTCTCCTCCATTCTCCTCCCAGGATCTTGGGCATGCACGCACACGCACCCCGGCGTGAGTTTTAAGCCACCAGGTCCTCTCAAACTGCAGTTGACTACGTGGGAGGAGTCCAGCAACATAGCCATTGTGCCAATTGCTGGCCCTGTCTTTTCCATATTATTATACAAAATTGCATATTCTGTACATTTCTGGAAGTGTTTATTAAATCAGCAAATACATTAAAATTTGATCATCACTAATTGCCCACCAACAGAGATGGTACCAGTTTGGACCCTGCATTTGTGTGCTATGAGAGTTTTTTTGGGGATCACTTATGAACGAGGTATAGTTGGGGCTGACACGTGCTCAGTGCCACATTTGCCTCCAGATTGGTTGCGCTTGATGGATGAGATGAACATAACGCTTCCGGAGAGTACAAACACGGAATTGCAGTGTACAGGGAAATCTGTTCCAGGGGTAGATAAATGACGACGCGCCTTCATCCAGGTGCCAAGGAGATCTGTGAGACGAGAAAATATCAAATGAGATGATCAAAGGATTAGGAGCGGAAACTTATGAATGCTTTGTCAGAGTTCTCTAGCTTTTGGAGATAATTGTGGGCGTGCTTACGTCACGACATTAAGCCTCGACAGGTCGACTTTCATTTTCCCAGGAGGTACAGAGGGGACAGTGGCTAGAATCATTAGAGTCGGCTCTGCAGGTGCCACGCCTGCGGATTCGACCAAGGATCAAACAGCGTTGGGGAAAAAAACAAAAGATTGTGTCTCCACTGAACATGTACAGGCTTTGTCTTGTCAGTGTTTCCTAAATAATACAGTAAACCAACTATTGTCACAGCACCTGTGTTGTGTTCGCTATGGCAGGAGAGCTCGAGGTCAGCTAGAGTATGCGGGACAGTGCCCATAGTCCCATGCAAATACTCTGCCGTTTTATGTCGGGCTGGGCGGCGAGGGATTTTGGTGTCTATAGGAGTCCAGGAACCGATCTCTTACAGATACTAAGAAACGACTGTTTACAAAAAAGAAAAATTACGTGGGAGAGGGGATAGGCTGTTTGTTCATATTTCAGGTTACTTATCTCTGAAATTATAATAGAAAATTACATTATGAACTCCAGGGTTTTCTGACAGTTTCGTAATTCCAAGAGCCCGAGATTAGAGACTTACTCATATAATTGTCTGCCAAGCTGCCGTAGGTGGCATATATGTCTTAGTCGTTTTTACAGTTTTATTTTTATTAGTTTGGTTTCATTGTTTTTAATGAGTCAAAATTATTTGCATGTTTTAGATGAACTTGAAGAAATGTTGAATCCAATGGGAACCGTTCAAACAAATCCATATACTGAAAACGCAACAGCTTTGCATATCAAGTTTCCAGAGAATAAAAAACAGCCTTATTACTATCCTCCCTTTGATAAGGTAAGCTGATTATTTAAAGGACTAGAATGCGTGAAGTAATTACATTCGGAGTTCTGAACTTCGTACATTAAGCTCTGAGTGTTGGTTTCTTTCTTCAAGTTTCATGTCCATGGACAGTTGGAAAAACACAGAGCAGGGCTCTCTAACTCTGTTAGCCCACACCCCATCACTAACCCAGTACGATGGGGCCACAAACGACTTCCCACGTAGCTCTCCGCATGTCCGGTGTTGGGGGACCATGCCTGGCACGTGGGCTCCAACTGTGAAGATTTACTCGTGCTGTTTTGGAGTTGGTATTCCAGAGACAGACGATGACGTTGGACATTACTTTTGGTTGGACTTCCTATGGCAGTATTTTATAGATGCTAGAATCGGTGGCAATTGAAGTCCATTTCTAAGTACCTTTACGTGTCACCTCTGCATAGACACTGCATGGCGTGGCCTAAGGAGGTTCTCTGGCAGGGGCTAAAGTAGAGCTGTGATGATTTATTTGTGAAAACATCTAAACTGGCAGGGTTTTTTTTTTTTTTTTTCCCTTTTTTTTTAGGCCTAAACTGGCAGGTTTTTTTTTTTTTTTTTTTCCTTTTTTCCAATTTTGTTTTTTTTTTTTAGGTTTGGTTGATTGTTTCTTTTTTTTTTTTTTTCCTTTTTTCCAATTTTGTTTTTTTTTTTTAGGTTTGGTTGATTGTTTCTTTTTTTTTTTTTTTGGCTAGAGGGCATGTGCGCTCACTGGAGAGAGGAAGAGAGGAACCCCCCCCCCTTCGCCCCATAGGGGTGGCCATGCCCCAGAACCTTCTCCATTTCTCCTTCGGGATTTGGGCATGTGCACACACACCCAGTGTGTTTTTCTAGTCACTGTGTCCTGGACTCAATCCATGCAGCTGGGTGTGTGGAATCAGATACCTTAACCACTGTGGCTGTCCCAGTGCCGATTTTTTTAAAGAATTATTTTATTTAACTTTACTGATTTATTTTAATTTGACCAGAGAGGGAGAGAGAGCAAGAGAGCCAGCTATGAGGGGAAGTGAGAAAACAGGCCTCCAGATCTAGGACTTGAACCACAGTTGACCACATGGGAGTCCAGCACCCTTAAACACCACACCGCTTGCTAGCCCCATCACTGCTGATTTTTATCAGGAAATCTTTGAAAATAAGTTTCAGAAAATAAGCAAGAAGTTTCTTTAATTTCCTTTATCCATTTGAGGATAAATACCCTTTAAGGTTCATATTGTACTAAATAATATTCCAATTCATCTCCCTATAAACTTACACGTCAGTGTTCAGCAGCACTAGACCTGTGTGAAGGAGACTTAGAAAGCATTATGCACATTGGGACGTGGGTGGCATAATGGACACCTTGGGCTCCCGTATAAACGGACCACAGTTAGAGTCCTGGACCCGGCAGCTCAACACTCATGCCAGGCGTGTGTGTGTGTGTGTGTGTGTGTGTGTGTGTACACGTGCGCATGCCCAAAATCCCGAGAGGAGAATGGAGGAGAAGAGATTGTGGTGTGGCCATCCCCAATGGGGGAGTGACTTCTCACTTTTTGTCTATCTCTGTGGCAAGCATATTTGCCCTATATCAAAAATCTTAAAAAAAAAAAAAAAAAAAGAAAAGAAAAAAAGAAAAGAAAGAAAAGTCTTATGCAAATTAAATTTATGCAAATAACAATGTTTCTTAATTTGCATCTTAATTGACTTTTATCACCATTGTTCTAGTCACCTGCAGTTCATCATTAAGAAGTCAAATTACTTTTTCCTAAAGAATTATTTATTTAATTTGATTTATTTATTCATTTATTTTAACTTGACCGTATATAGAGAGAAACACAGAGACACACACAGGAAGAGGGTGAGGGGAGTAAATAACAATGTTTCTTAATTTGCATCTTAATTGACTTTTATCACCATTGTTCTAGTCACCTGCAGTTCATCATTAAGAAGTCAAATTACTTTTTCCTAAAGAATTATTTATTTAATTTGATTTATTTATTCATTTATTTTAACTTGACCGTATATAGAGAGAAACACAGAGACACACACAGGAAGAGGGTGAGGGGAGTGAGAAAGCAAGCTACCATGTCTGGGACTTGAACCGTAGTTGGCCATGCGGGAGTGTCCAATGCCTGAACCATTACCTCATCTGCCGGCCCCATCTCTTCTTTTTAAAAATATTTTATTTAACTTCATTTATTTAATTTTTTAAATTTTAATTTAACCAGAAAGGGACAGAGCAAGAGAGAGAAAGAGGGCAAGTGAGGAAGCAAGCCGCCAGGTCTGGGACTTGCACTGCGGTCAGCCATGTGGGAGTCCAGCGCTCTTCACCACCATGCCACCTGCCGGCCCCAGCGGTCACGTTTCTTTAAAACATTTTATTTCACCATTGTTCCAGTCATGTGCAGCTCATCATTAACCTTTTAGTTTGCCTCTCTGATCCCTTAGAAGATCAATTTAGAATAGAGATTATAGTCTTTATCCATAAATATGTTTACTTGTTATACTTTCATTGTACAAGTCATATGTGGTTGTTATAAATTATACAGACGTATAGGAGAAAATTTCCCCTAGTCATATTCTTTTCATTTTATTTAGTATTCGTTGCTATAATTCCTTGCATACTTTTCATGTCTTACGGTTATCAGTTAATAAACGTAATCTCATTTTATTTTCATAACGACCCTATGGAATAGGTTAGGAATTACCACACAGATCTTCTAATTTTTGCACATCGATCCTCCCACCTAACAAGGGTTGCCGTCTTTTCAGGAATCACAGCCCCCTTTTGGCTTAATGATTTTTTTTTTTTTTGGAGAGATTTTCACTGTAGGGCGCGTGCGCTCGCCAGACAGACAGAGAGAGACATAGAGACAGAAAGCGAGAAATCACCCCCCAGGGGGGATGGTCACGCCGCAATCCCTTCTCCATTCTCCTCTCAGGATCTTGGGCACGCACGCACACACACTCGGCGTGAGTTTAAACCACCAGGTCCAGGACTCGAACCATGATCAGCTACATGGGAGTTCAGCGACATAGCCAATGAATTTAAAAGTTATTTTAGGCTTTCCCTGTTATTATGTCTACTTTTGATGTCATTGTGACAAAAGCTTATTCTGTGTTTAGGAACTCACATACATTTGCATTTTCTTCTATTTTTTTTTTTTTTTTGGAGAGATTTTCACTGTAGGGCGCGTGCGCTCGCCAGACAGACAGAGAGAGACATAGAGACAGAAAGCGAGAAATCACCCCCCAGGGGGGATGGTCACGCCGCAATCCCTTCTCCTCCATTCTCCTCTCAGGATCTTGGGCACGCACGCACACGCGCCCGGCGTAAGTTTTAAGCCACCGGGTCCGGGACACGAACCGCAGTTGACTACGTGGGAGTCTAGTGACATAGCCATTACGCTAACTGCTGGTTCCCATATTTGCATTTTCTTAACCAGAATGTGTTTACATACATTTCAGAAAAAGCTTGACATGTATCTGCAAGCCACTGCTGTTTTTTTCCGTAGGCAGTACTCGTGTTCCCGTAGTGGTAGTCCCTTACGGTAATACCATTGCTTACCTGTTGTCAGGAGTTTGAAGCATGTGGGAAACACCAGTTTGCTTTAAAATTCATCTCTTTGTTATACATCATAGAATTACAAGACCATATGCAGTCTGAGTACAAGTACAGTCACTTAAAATTCTATGAATATGAGAACCAAAATTCATTAATGAATTTATTTTTAAACAGATTATTGAGAAGGCAGCTGAGATCGCAAGCAGTGATAGTGCTAATGTATCAGTAAGTACCAAGGCTCTGAAACAGCCACTTCTTTTCTTTTTTTTTTTTTTAAATGTTTTGATTCACTAAAGATCTTAATTCATGTAAATACTTTGAATAGCAAGTGCAACTGATGTATACCTGTCAATGAACGCATGTCTGACTCTAGGTGTAAACTTCAGTGAGTAGAATGCACATACTATAAAGTAGCACCTAGCTGGGGCTATATAGCTTCCTGCAGTCATTAAATAGGTATTTTTTAAAAGCATTTTTAAATTTCAAGATAAAACAGTTTTAGTTTTAATAGATCAAAATCAAAAAATGTTAAGAGAAACTTGCGTAAGACTTAAAGCCAGGAAAAAGGAGAGGATTCAGTTCAAACAGTAGTAGATAAACCTGTCAACAGTTGAAGAGAAGACAAAAATCCTTAAATTTAGGAAACAAAGCACAGAAGAAAATCAGCAATGTTTTAATCAAAAGCCATACAATTCTGTTTCACCAGTTCAGTCTCAGGTAATTAATCTCTCTCCTGTTGACTTTGCAGTGCTACTGTGGTCCGATCTTTCCGTTTAAATTCTGGAAGTTAGCATTCAATGTTGTTATTGATCTTTCTAGACTTGTCCCTACCATTAAGTTGGCCATTTTCTTGGTTGTTTTTTGTACTTTTATTTCTGTGAGTCTGACTTTGTTTTCCTAGTATAGCACTCCCTTCAGAACTTCTTGGAGAGCTGGTCTGGTGTAGGTAAATTCTTTGAGGTTTAATATCTTGCTTCTATCTGCGGTTTTGGTCAATCTGACTATGATGGAAAAGATCTTCTTGGGTTGATGCTATGTGGGGTCCTTTGTATTTCTTGGGTCTGGATATTTGAATGGCTCTCTAGGCTTGGAAAGTTTTCTTCTAGGATTTCATGAACTAGATTATCAATGCCCTGATTAGTTTCTTCACCTTCTGGAATACCGATTATCTGGATGTTTGGGCATTTAGTGGTATCTAGTATTATTACTTGTATATTATTCTCATGTTTTTGGGTTGTTTTCTCAGTCTTTTTGGTGAATTTTTCTAGGTCAGAGGTTCTATCTTCTACATCTGGGATTCTATCTTCTGCATGATCTAATCTGTTTTTAATACTTTCAAAGGAGGTTTTGATTTCCTTTATTACAGCCTTCATATCTAACAATTTCATTTGATTCTTTTTTTATAATGTGTTTCCTCTTTCATATCGTGGAAGAACTTCTTCACCTCCTGGAACTCATTGTCTCTTTTCTTCTGCATCTTCTGGAGTTTGATGTCTATTTTCTTGGATGTCTGTTAGCTTTGTGACTGTGAATATTTTAAATTCTTTTTCTGGCATTTTCATAAGATTCATCGTACTGTCTGTGGAGGATGAGAAGTTACTCATTTCCCTTGGGGGAGAGATACTTTCTTGGCTTATCTTTCTTGTGCCTCTGAGGTGGTTTCTGGTAATCTGCTGGATTATACTTTTTTCCCTAATTTTTGGAGTTAAATCTGAGCATTCAGAACCGTGCAGGAGGAGGTGATTTGCAATCTCTCTGCAATATGGTTTTTCTACCTTTGTACAGCAGATTCCATGGGAATTGAAGATTTCTCTGACTCTGGCTGAATCTTGTGGTCAAGAGGGTGTTGTCTGGGCAGAAAATCTTCAGTTGTCCTAGTCCTTGAAAGGGGCCACTCAGAGCTCAAATGTAGATAGCTTGTCCAAATAGCCTTTGCTTGCTATAGAGTTGTATACATTATTCGGTATTTTTGTCAGTGTGGTAATGAGCTTACGGAATTCCACAACTCAAATGCAGTGACAGCCTGTGAGTGTAGGGACGTGTGCGTGACTAGCGTTTGGTCCAGTGGCAGCTTAGTTTGTAGGTGATCTGTGTCCAGCAAGTAAGCGCTCTTCTGTTACCATACAGGCCTGCAGCTGGTCTCGGGGGTGCTGTGGCTCCTCCCGGGGTGACAGTACTGTCGTAGGGAATGTCTGTCTGTCATGTGACAGAGCAGATGTGGTGAAGGACAAGCATCCCGGTCAGGTTTCTGTCATGGTTAGCCTGGCCTGATTCTATTTGATGGTTAACATCACTGCTCCAGCTTTCTACTCCATCGCATGCTAGCCACACGCTAGCCAGACCGAGCAGAAAAATCAAGACCAGCGGCCTTGCGTCGTACTTGATGAAGATGCGTTACTGTGTATCCTTTCTGCTCACATCTCCCTGGCCAGATCTTCCTCACATGAGCATACCTAACTACGAATGAGGCCGGGAAATGCAGTCTTCTGTTAGGCAGGCAGGTAATCGGTTAAAGTAAGAGATTCTATCGCTAAAGGAAGAAGTGCAGCGCGAGTACTGAGCAATCTCTGTCATATACACTGGCCCATTGCTTCTGTTCAGATACTACAAATTAGATATTTTATTGACTTGGGTTACAGTATGTCTATTTTTTACCTTCTGTGCTGTTTAAGGTTTTTTTGGGGGAGGGGAGGCATAGGGCATGTGTACTCATCAGAGAGAGAGGGAAAGTGAAAAAGCACCCCCAAGAGGATGGCCACTCTGCAGTCCCTTCTCTGTTCTGTCACTATTTTGGGCATGCACGGACACATGCCCTGTGTGTTTTACAGGAGGTTGGGTCTGGGATTCAAACTATATTGATCCCCACATGGGATCCAGCTGCCTTAGCTCCCATACCACTATGTGGCCTTAAATCATCTTGTTTTTTTAAGAAGTCTGTCATCTTGTTTTGCTAAGTTTCTTAAGAGAGATTTTTGCTATAGGGCACATGCACTTAGCCAGAGAGAGAGAGCAACAGAGAGAAAGCATCTCCCCCTCAGCGGGATGGCCGTGTCACTGTCCCTTCTTCTCCACTCTCCTCTCAGGATTTTAGGCACACACACTCACGCTCCTGGCATGAGTTTGAAGCTGCAGGGTCCAGGACTCGAACCACGGTCAGCTATGTGGGCATCCAGTGACATAATCATTATGCCATCTGCTGGTGCCGGTTGCTTTCTTTCACTATATAGAGTCTCAGTTTAGCTCTCCTGGTCTGAGGCTCCTAGGTGGTCAGCCCGTTCACTGCACTGTGACTTCAGTAACTGTTGACATGGGCTTGCCTGCACGTGGAGATTTCCATACTTCTCTAGGGCTCAGTACCCTGTTCCCACCTTCATCGGAGAGCGATGTTGCTGTTTCGAATCTGCACTAACAGAGGAAGGGGTGTGCCCGGCCACAGCAGCTGCTTCCCCACACGGACCTAAGACCCTCTACGATTGCCCGGTTTTCTCCCCGTCCCTCATGTCTGTCATCCTGAGCCAGAGCTCCCCCAGGACCATGTGCAGATTCACCGCCACACGGGTCTGAGAAGGTCTGGTCCAGGAGGGGGTCCTTTGTTGGCCACTCTTCATCACTTTGTACGGCTGTTACTAAAAAGATTTCTTGGACCTGCAGGTCACACGGGTCCAGGACTCTAACCGCAGGGGACTCTGCGCGAGTCCAGTGATATAACCATTACGCCATCTGCTGGTCCCTGGACTGTCAATTTTAAATCTTTATAACTAGGCTGATGTCTTCTTATTAATCAACACAAGAACTGTGATGATGAGCTCTTCTGTTGTCCCTAGCTTGTGCTGTAGGGTGCATACTCGTGGTGGAGAGAGGTGGTGGGGAGGGGGAGAACACCTCCACAGGGGATGGCCACACCGCAGCCTCCTCTCCTCCCTTCTCCTCACGGGATTTTGGGCTCAGACGTACACGTGCCTGGTATGATTTTCATGCCTTTGGGTTTGGGGCTTGAACCAAGGTTATCCATAAGGGAGGCGCATACTTAATCACCATACTGCCTGCTGGCCCCAGTGAGCACATTTTCGCCAACCAGAAATAAGTTTGTTTGTTCCTGTAGCACAAATATTTGTGTTTTGGGATTCAGTGAACTCTTGGGAAATACATTCTGCACCCTTGGGACCAGCAGATGGCATAATGGTCACGTCATTGGATCTCATATAGTCGACCACAGTTCAAGGCCCCAACCCGGCCACTTTAGGACTCACACCTGGCGCATGTGTGTGCCTCCCAAAAATCCCAGGAGGTAAATGGAGAAGGGATTGCTTCAAAGAGTGTCTGATGTTGAGGTCTTCAGCAGCTTATGTAGTTATATGAGGATCAGCTTCAAGAATTGCTCTCACCTGGTTGTGAATCCTGGTGGCCAGTCCCTGCAGTCCTTGTCAGCAGGGTCTTATCTCCTTTCCTGGACTTTCCTTTTTTTTGGGGGGGGGGGTTTGCTATAGGGCGTGTGCACTCGCCAGAAAGACAGAGCAAGACAGAGAGACAGAAAGCGAGAAATCCCCCCCCAAGGGGGACGGGCATGCACGCACATGTGCCCGGTGTGAGTTTAAGCCACTGGGTCCGGGACTCGAACTGCGGTCGATTACTTGGATATTCCAGCGACATAGCCATTCTACCAACTGCTGGTCCCTTCGCCAAACTTCTTGAATCACTGCTGCACTTGATGTTCATTGGCAGTTGCTGGGCCAGGGCGTTGTGATGTTGGAGCGGTCTCCTCCGCTTTTACCACCCGTGTCAAACTCGAATAAGAAAATTGCTCCGAATTTGTTTTTGTCTAACATCATTTCCATCTAAAGCACATACAAAATAAACAGCATGTAATAAGTCATTAGGAAAAAACATACAATGAGGAATGCACATTAAAATTATGTATAAGATGGACCAGCAGGTGGTGTGGTAGTTAAGGTGCTAGACACTCTCACAGGGCTAACCACGGTGTGATGCCCAGACCTGGTGGCTTGCTTTCTCACTTTTCTTCTCTCTCTCTCTCTCTGCCTCTCTCTGGTCAAATTAAAATGAATGAATGAATAAATAAAATTAAATAATTACATAAAAAATACCCCAAGAAAGTAGGAATACTAAGTATGTAAGTTATACTAAATTATTCCCAAGATTCCTTACAGTTCTTAAAAAAATATTATGTATAAGATAACCACAGTTGGGACCAGTAGATGGCATAAGGATTGTCATTGGACTCCCACGTAGTTGACCGTGGTTCGAGTCCTGGACCTGGAGGCTTATACTCACGCCAGGCCATTGGCCAAGATCCCGAGAGGAGAATGGAGGAGAAGGGATTGCGGCGTGGCCATCCCCCTGGGGGAGTGATTTCTCGCTCTCTGTCTCTCTGTCTCTCTCTGTGTGTTTCTGGTGAGCACACGTGTCCTATAGTAAAATCTTCTCTTCCAAAAAGATACCCACATTTATTTAAGAGTGTATCCAATTTCAAACTAAGTTTGTACAGCACAAAGCCACAACTACATTCGTTAATATGTTTGCCTGCATCTATCCTGTATATGTACACAGAGATACTTTATCCATTCATTGAAGAATCTGAGTTCTTGGGCCAGCTGGTAGCATGGTGGCTGAGGCGGGTAGGCCCATGTGGCTGTGCACTTTGCATTCTGGACTCGGTGTCCTGAAAAACACACCGGGAACAGGTGTGTGCGTGCCCCAAACCCCAAGAGGAGCCTGGAGGCGATGGGATTGCAGCATGGCTCCATGCGATTTCTCACTTTCTCTGTTTTTGCCTTTCCAGGAAATGCATGCGACCTATAGCAAACTAAAAGTACATGAATTAAATTTAAAACAAAGCTAAAGCTAGGAGTTCACAGGAAGCTATGAGTTCTCACCAAATGTGACGTGCTCGTCACGCTGCTTAGCTGCCTCTCACTTGATCCGTCACCCCTGGTTGTTTTCGGGACGCTGCTTTCTCATATTTGCAGTCCTCTTTCCTGACTGTGGAAAACCAGGCGTCCAGTTAGCCTTGACGTATGTACTTATCTGCTTAGTCCTCGGTGGCAGTCAGTCTCCTGATCCTGTACCTGCCCCTCTGTCTGTGGCCCAGCAGCCCTGGTGGGTGTGTGTCCACCCAGTCCCGTACCTGCGCTGTGGTTAGTTCCCTCAGCACTGTGTCCCCGACAGCCACTGCTAGTAGGCCACCCACCTGAGTCTTCAGCCTTTCTGAAGATAACAGACGAGGTTTTGGTCCTCCGTATTGAAAGGAAAGGAGCCGTAGTCTTGTTTTTTCTTTTTTTCTCCTTCTATGGTACTCATAACAAGGTGCTTGTTTTGTTTTATTTTGGTCAGTAATCACTATTAAGTCATATTGTGTGGGGTTTTTTTTCTTTTTAATTTGAAATTTTTAATCACTGTAGAGAGCATGCATATGTGCACGAGGAAGCCCAAACCAACAGGGCAGGGCCCCTTCACAGAGCAGTCCTTTCCCCCCAATTCTCCAAACCGTCAGGATTTTAGGCATGTGCACGAGACCCCGGAGAGAAGGCAGGGATACAGGGATTTGAACCCTGGTGGGCCGTATGGGATCTGGCTTCCTGTAGGTGTGTTTACCTGCAGGACCAACCCTTATATTTATGTTTTTGATTTAAAGAAAATCTGAATATAAAGAAAAACAAGGTGTAAAATACGGGTGTTATTCCTCATTGCCTTCTACCATTTGCCTTATCTCAGTGTAAGCATTTGAGTATGTTTGTATAACTACCCTACTCATACTGCACAATATCGATCTTCCTTACTGATTTTTTCTTCTTTTGGGTTTTATAAAAGCCTCTCAGGCTTTTGGGTTTCGTTAGGCTTCCCGCCATACTTCTTGTAGCTTTTTTGCTTAACCTGACGTTATTCAATGTTGTCCTTATCACACCTCCGTAAAAATATGCAGTACAATTTTATAGCTAATCTACTGTTCTCTGCTCTTAGCTTATTTGTAATTCTTCAGGACATTAATTTAAAACAGGCCTATGGAGTTCTAATTTGCATCCACCAAATTATAATGCGTGTGCTAGATGTTGGCAGTATGTAACCTAAGAGCAGTCTAGTCTGCCTTTCTCTGACGGAGAACTTACACGTTGTATTGTTTGCAGTAACAGGTTTGGCATGGGCTTTTATTTTCAAACTCTGATGACTCATTAGTTTTCGGTGATTTCCCCATTTAGACACACCCTTGTAGGCTGAGCCTCTGCATGTGAAACCATGCAGCTGCTTACAGTCGCTGTGTTACAGCAGGGTGTGAACCTAGAGTAACCCTCAGCCAGCGTGGTTGCTACAATGCTTTCATTCTGGTCTGTCTGGTTGTTTTGTGTCTACCTAAAGGCAGTGTCCAAAGTCATTTCCCTTAATAAATTTATACATAGTATTTCCTTTTTCCTTCTTTTTTTAGAGCGAGATTTTTTTTGTTCTAGGGTATGTGCGCTTGCTGGAGAGACAGATTGAGACAGAGAGATAGAAAGCAAGAAATCACCCCCTGGGGGTATGGCCACCCCACAAGCTTTTCTCCTCTTGGAATTTTGGGCACACATGCACACGCACCTGGCGGGAGTTTTAAGCAGCCTGGTCTTGGAATCAAACCGTAGTCGACTACATTGGAGTCCAGCAACATGTCCGTTATGCCATCCGTTGGTCCCACCCATTATTATTATAATTTAAGAATTTATTTTTTTATTTAACTTTTTAAAGTTTTAATTTGACCAGAGAGGGACAGAGTGAGAGAGAGAGAGACAGAGAGAGAGAAAGCTGCTAGGTACAGGACTCGAACTGCAGTCGGTCATATGGGAGTCCAGCGTCCTTAACCACCATGCTACCTGTTGGTGTCCCCCCCCCATATTATTTTAATGTATGTATATTTTATTTCAAATTGGAGTACTTAAAAAATTAGCAGCATGGTAATTTCATGTATTTTTATGTGAATATGAAATCTCAGTTCAAATAACAAGAGAATAAAACCTCACAGGATATTTTCAGATAATCCTGGAAAAAAACGTAAGAAAAATGTATTTCGGTTAAAGTGGTGTAGTTTTAACTTAGGTAAGAAGAAACAAACCTCACTCTTTAACATCAGTGGAATTCAGAGTCTCTAGATCTAAAACTGGGATGTATCCTTTCTTTGTTTTACTGTCCTCGTTTGTACGGTGTGCAGAGGAAAATGCGACAAGGGTTGGGGCCCTGGGAAAGCCAGGGTGCATTTTTTGCCTAGAAAAACACCTCATGATTTTCCTGACTACCTATTATTTTTCTCATTTTTATCTTTATCTAACATTCAATTCTTTCTTTATTTTTATTTGATACATTTAATCACTATATGTCTCTTAGCTTGTAGAGTACGTCTACCCACCGTGAACACACCTCACACCAGTCCGGTTGTGGCTACACACACATTATCCTCAACAGACAGAACATTCCATTCTTCCTCTAGTGAGGTTTTAGGTCCTGAAGCCAAGGCACAAGCCAGGAAGGCACCTACCAACTTTATTTTTAACCTCATATGTTTGGGTTGTCTTTTTTTTGTTTGTTTATAAAAGTTGAAAATTAAAGAATTCAGGTCAACTAATAAACGACTTGTTTTTTTAATCCAAAATGCAATACTGCCATCTACTGTTTATGATTTTTTAATACAATGGTCTTTCCTTTTTTAAGACTGTTTTCAACCGTCCTTTATCCTTAGCTTACACATTTAATATTGAACAATGAAAACTTGTATAAAGGGTCCAACTTTATCAATACTTTAAGGCATTACATTTATGCCTCACACATTACAGCTCACTTTACATGTAAAGTTATCATATGTAAATTCACCGAGTGTTTGCCAGCAGTGTTTGCATAGTTAACTTCTATAATAAGTATTTTATTTTCTTAGAGTCGGGGTGGAAAAAAGTTTCTTGCTGTCCTGAAGGAGATCTTGGACAGGGACCCCCTGTCTCAGCTGTGTGAGAATGAGATGGATCTTATCTGGACTCTGCGACAGGACTGCAGAGAGAACTTCCCACAGTCACTGCCCAAGCTGCTGCTGTCGATCAAGTGGAATAAGCTTGAGGACGTTGCTCAGGTAACAGAGGCCGTGCCCCGCGGAGGTCGTGCCCCGCAGAGATCGTGCCCCGCAGAGGTCATGCCCAGCTCCATTTGGGTGTGTCTGGATCCTTCATTGATTGCATCTGGTGTCTTTTCCTCAGGGGCATATTTCTGTAAGTTAGACAATTTTTGGCTGAAGAGCTTTTTTTTATTTTTATTTTTTGGAGAGGTTTTTTTCGCTATAGGGCGCGTGCACTCGCCAGACAGACAGAGAGAGACATAGAGACAGAAAGCAAGAAATCACCCCCCAGGGGGGATGGTCACGCCGCAATCCCTTTTCCTTCATTCTCCTCTCAGGATCTTGGGCACGCACGCACACATGCCTGGCGTGAGATTTAGCCACCGGGTCCGGGACGCAACCCGCAGTCGACTACGTGGGAGTCCAGCGACATAGCCATTACGCTAACTGCTGGTTCCCTGAAGAGCTTTTATTAAAAAGAATTATTTTATTTAACTTTATTTTATTCATTATTTATTTATTTTTTAATTTGACCAGAAAGGGACAGAGAGGAAGAGAGAGTGAGAAAGCAAAGCTGCCAGGTCCGGGACTAGAACTGCAGTCTGCCAGTGGGAGTCCAGTGCCCTTAACCACCATGCCACCTCCTGCCCCACTGAAGAACTTTTGAGGTTTTAAATTTATACGCTCTAGATAATGGACCGGGGAGTTTAAGATTCAAACTTCCGCCATTCATCGGAGACCGTCATTGATCAAAAAGAGCACCTGCTGCGTCCCCGGACCGTAGCAGGTTCCGTCGGGGGCTCCACATTTTTTCACCTTTAGACCTTGGCAATGACTGTTTTAAAATTATTATCTAGAATTTCATAATCACCTTTACTGTAGAAGTTAGCATTTATTAATAGAAATTAACCATTCAGGTCAAGTTTAACTTCTATTTCCATTGGATGGTATTGATGAGTTTATGCCTTGGGCTGCATGAAGAAAGAAGAAAACAGTTGTTCAAAAAAGCCATCCAATGGGAACCAGCAGTTAGTGTAATGGCTGTGTCGCTGGACTCCCACGTAGTCGACCACGATTCGCGTCCCGGACCTGGTGGCTTAAAACTCACGCCAGGCACGTGTGCATGCGTGCCCAAGATCCCGAGAGGAGAATGGAGAAGGGATTGCGGTGTGACCATCCCCCCTGGGGGGTAATTTCTCGCTTTCTGTCTCTATGTCCCTCTCTGTCTGTCTGGCTAGCGCACACGCCCTATAGCGAAAACCTCTCACAGAGACATAGAGACAGAAAGCGAGAAATCACCCCCCAGGGGGGATGGTCACACCGCAATCCCTTCTCCTCCATTCTCCTCTCGGGATCTTGGGCACGCACGCACACGCGCCCGGCGTGAGTTTTAAGCCACCGGGTCCGACACGCGAACCGCGGTCGACTACGTGGGAGTCCAGCGACATAGCCATTACGCTAACTGCTGGTTCCCGACAGTAAACTTCTTCATGATAATTTTATTTTGGGTTATTAATGACCTTTTAAAATACAGGCCAGCCATCATTACCTTACCTTGAGCCTCGTAGCTTCTATTTGTTCTCTGAATTTTACCTTTAAGTGTTTATTGATTTTTTTTTTCTCTTGCCTTAAAAATTACTTAATGGCTAAAGTTTCCAGAATCCACATAGTCAGGGTATTATTCTATTTTCAGGTAAGTACTTTGACAGCTCTTTAAACTCATCCATAGAGTATGTCAACAGCAGAGATCATTTTTATTAGCCCACGATGACAGGGACGGGTTCTGCGACATTGATAAATTAAGAGCGTGTCTTATTTCTTTTGAGACAACCGTGGGCGCCCATGCGCGGGGGAAGAGGAAAGCGCTTGGGTCCCGGGCCCCCATCTTTCCTGACACCATTTCCATTTCTAAACAGCTCCAAGCACTGCTTCAGATTTGGCCCAAACTGCCCCCGCGGGAGGCCCTGGAGCTTCTGGACTTCAACTACCCAGACCAGTACGTGCGGGAATATGCCGTGGAGTGCCTGCAACAGATGAGGTACTACTTGCAGGTGGCTTTCCTTGGGGCGAGACGGTGGTGGGTAGGGAAGGGTGAGTCTCCCTAAATACCTACAAGGAAGGAGAAGGCAGCAAACTGTTCAGAATTCGAGTCCTCAGACATGGTGCTCGCCCTGCCCCTCCCCGCCCCGTGCACACTTCCTCCGCGATGTGAGCCAGAGCCCACCGGGCAGGCAGACGCCAGGCTCAGCTGCAGGTTCCATGCCTCTCCAGGACGGCCCGGGGACTCGTACCGTCACTCACAGAGAAGTTATTGCCGCAAGTCGGTACAGAGCACAGGGGCCAAGGAAGAGGTCCACAGGCCAAGCCTGGTTCAGGGAGAAAGCCAGGCATGAGCTGAAGGGCCTCTCCTGACACTCAGCACTGATCCCCAGCAGCGAGTTGTGGTGACGCATGTCTGCCCGGGGAAGACCCGTGCTAGGGTTTCTGTGGGACTAGGCCTGTAAGTACCCTCGCCTTGCATGTTCCAGGTTTCCAACCCCCAGGAGGGAAGTGGGTGTGCAGCTTAAGCCACCCTGTTGGGACGAGCAGTCAGATGTAGTGAGTCACTCTTAATCAAGGAAAGTGGTGGGAACATCTCTGCAATCTTGGCTTACAGATGCCAGCCGCAGGCCCACCCTGTGTGCACTTCCAAAGGTTAGCATACGCCTGCTGTGCTAACTCTTCACACTGTCTGCATCCCAAAATGGAGACTTGTTCATGTTTGTTTATTTATTTTATTTTGACCAAAGAGGGACAAGAGGTGCGGGGGGAGGGCAGGGATGTGAGAATACAAGTTGCCAGGTCTGGGATTCGAACTGTGGTCAGCCATGTGGGAGTCCAGCGCCCTTAACTACTACACCACCTGCTGGCCCCCAAGAAATGTCAGTATTTTAATTTGAGTGTGTAGTACGTTCATTAAAGAGTTTGTAGTATGTTCGTTGAGTTTGTAGTATGTTCCCTGTGCATGCACGTGGAAGAGATCACAGCCCACGTGGTGCGGCTGTGCAGTCCTTTTTCCCCCGTTTCATCATCCTGCCAGGATTTAGGCGTGCATGTTCCCACACTGGCATGTTTGTCAAGCCACCGGGGCTGAGATTCGAAACGTGCTTGGCTGTGTGGGATTGGCTGCCTTTGCACGGGGCTTCCCTGCTGTGTGGGGCTGAGAGAGACAGGAGAAGAGGGAGGGAGGGAGGGCAGGTCACGGGCCAGGAGCTCGCTGCAGCCCCTCCCAGCTGTGCTGCCGGCTCGGTGTGAGCGTGTCTGCAGGGCTTGCCCCATGGTTCAAGGCCCACGCAGGGCACAACCCAGAACCCGCCTCCGTGGTGCCCAGCACCACGCAGCAGCCACACAACTGCCTGCACAGCTGCGGCCGAGCTGCGTCACGGGGTTTTAGAGAATGTTTTAAGCAGATACATTACACTTGAAGTCGAAGTCCTGATCATTTCCCTACCCAGTCTGGGCGACGTCTCTCCATCCCCAGAGGCAGCCACTGTCATGACTTTGGTGTGTCCCCTTCTGTGTTCCAGTTTCGGTTTTATCACATAGATCTATAAACATGTAGATGTGAGAGCATTAGAACACATTTTACAATGACACAGTGTGTCTTACCATTTGCATTGTTTTCTATCTGGCTCATTAAAATTCATCGTCCGTTTTTGAGGTCAGTCTCGTTCTGCACAGTCAGCCCTCTGTATCCGTGGGCTCCACGGCCATGCGTCCCATCAGCGCGGCCTGGAAATGCTGCGTCTTTGCCGACGCGTACCGGTCGTCAGCCAAGGAAGGCTGGCTGTTCTGAACGTGTGCAGGCTTTTTTCTTCTCCTTATTTCTTGAACAGTGCTTTACAACAACTATATAGCATCTCCATTGTATTAGCTGCTGGAAGGAATCTGGACGATTGAAATCACACATATGGGAGGGTGATTGCAGGTTTCGTGAGAATATGTCATTTTACGTAAGAGATTTGATCATCCGTGGGAGTGGGGGTGCGTGTGGAGACCTGGTCCCAGCACTGTGTAGTACCCTGTCCCAGGGGTAGGCCTGTTTAATTCATTCCCCACCGAGGAGCCCTGAAGTTTTCTCTGAGTTCTCTGTTGTAAACAAAGCCGCTGTGAATGGACTCAGGTCTCTGAAGGGGCAGCCTTAGACAATGGGCATTTTCATGCTTTTCCATTTTTGTCTCAGTCTTGGAAACAAGGCTTTAGTACTATAAAAGGTTATTTGAAAACTGAAAGTTCATAGGTTAGCAAGACTACCACGGCTCTTTTTCTTTTCTTTTTAAAATCATGTGTGTTTCGAGCTGTGTGGTATCCGAAAGGAATTGCGTAAGTGCTTCAATAGTGCTTATTTCTGGGAGTGAAGTTAGAAGTGTGAGGCGAGAGGAAGTCCCTTCTATTTCTATACTTGTTTTCTATTTCTTCCTGCCATCTATAGTTTCTCTAATGGGCATGGGTTTCCGGTCACTTCGTTAGGACTGTGGTGTAAGCAGTTTTACAAATGGAGGTTCTGGTCCCCCTGAGTTTGCATGGGAGACCTGATGGGAAGGAGAGTACCTGGCTCCCTCTAGGCTTATAATAATTATCTAATAATTACTATCTTTTTAGTAACTGTTCACTTAATTTTATTTATATAGCAGTAGTATTTTTTTAATTTTATATAGGACACATGCACCCACAAGAAAGCGAGAGGGAGAGAAAAGAAGCAAGAAAGCACGCTGCCAGGCCCGGGACTGTGGTCGGTTGTGTAGGAGCCTGGCGCCTTAACCACCGACCCACACGCTGGCCCCTGGTATCTTCCACACACATCATCTCTCGAGGAGATTGCTGTGACCCCCGTGTTCTGTGGGGCAGTTTTCAATGCACAAGTGTGTCATGACTTTTCCAGCGCCCAATATATAGCTAATTCTGCTGTTTTCCTATGTCAGGTTTTCTAGCTGTGAGGTGGGGTTTTTGGTTTTGCTTTTAATTCAGCCCAATGAATGACACTTTTGTCTGTTATATAAATTCAATGAGTCAGTCTCACAAATGCATTCATTTTCTTATCCTTCAGACTGTTTAAAGTTAAGATTTTAATTGTTCAGTGATTGTCTGGGAACAGAAATACTTAACCTGAGGAGGAAAATAAATGGTGAAAGTACCGATGGGATTTTTTTGGAGCAGTGGTTCTTTAATGAGTATATACATTTTAGAATGACCAGAAATCAAGTAAAAGAACTCAATGCTTTTGGCAGCCCTTATCTGGCTGCAAGTTCAACAGTCGGAACAATTCATCTGATAAACGGTATCTCTCATGGTCTCTGTTCTTTGCCCACCACCCCCCTTCAGCTCTTATTGTGTTGCAATGTCATCACTGTTACAGTAGATGGAAGCTGGAACTTGCCTCACCCCGCCTGGTCAGCGAGCTAGCACTGCAGCGTTTGTGTGGAGCAGGTGGCTGAGCTACTTTCTCTGCCTTTTGTTTCTTTCAGTGATGAAGAACTCTCGCAGTACCTTTTACAACTGGTGCAAGTGTTAAAATACGAGCCTTTCCTTGATTGTGCCCTGTCTAGATTCCTGCTAGAAAGGGCACTTGCTAATCGGAGGATAGGACAGTTTCTGTTTTGGCATCTTAGGTAAGTTTTTTATATTGCTTTTGCTTTTGTTTTTGAGAGAGATGGTTGCTATTGGGCGTGTGCCTGAGAGAAAGAAAGAAATCACCCGCCGAGGGGATGGCCATGCCACAATCCCTTCTGCATTCTCTTCCCTGGATCTTGGGCACGCACACACATGCACCTAGTGTCAGTTCAAAGCCACCAGGTGTAGGACTCGAACCATGGTCGACCATGTGGGAATCAGCCTTTTGACCACTATGCCATCTGCTGGCCCAGTCTTTTATATTTCAGTTTAAAACCACCATGTGCTTTGGTAAATGTAAACCGGCACGATATAAATCATTTAGTAACAGGCAGCTGCTCTAGCTGCTTCTGAGCCGACTCCCATTTTACGGTTTTGGTGCCTCTTCTCATTTCTTGATAGTTAGACTCTTGATTTTCTTGATTTGGCGAAGTGATACAGATGCGTCTCTCCATGCCTACTTGGCTTTCACTGAAACCGAGCTTCACCTACTGCTGCTTCCCTGGAAGGAATTACTGCTTTAATATCTCTGAGCCAATGCAGAAGGTTGTGGGTGGCATTATCCTCACTTCTGTAATTGGTGAAAATAAAATTCCACTATGTAACAACAGCAGTCTTATTTTTAGTTTCTCTAGAACTAGGGCATTTTCAGAAGCAAAAGATCCTATTTCACCAGGTTCAGTAAAATTGGGAAAGAGAACTAGGGTCATTCTTCAGATAGTTTTAGTTTTTTCATCTGGACATCAGAGTATTAAAACTAATGTATATCAGAAAAATATACCTTTCCAGGGGAGCCGCTGATGGCAGAATGGTTATGTCAGTGGGCCCCCACTTTCTCGACTGTGGCTCAAGTCCTGGCTCAGGCTACTTAAAGCATACACCAGGCAGGTGTACCTGCTGCCCGAAATCCCGAGAGGAGAATGGAAGATAGGGAATTGCAGTGTGGCCACCTTGCCCCCGGGGGGTGTTTGCTCACTTTCTGTCTCTGTCTCTCTCTGTCTCTCTGGTAAGCACACATGCCCTATAGCAAAAATTTTTCTTAAAAAAAAAAAAGAAAAGGAAAGAAATTTATACCTTTCCATTTTGGATAAGCTTCTTTTTTAAAAAGTTATTTTATTTTATTTATTATTGCTGTTTTATAAATTTGTTATAAGGTACATGTGCTCACCAGAGAAGGACAGAGAGACAGAAAGTGAGGTAAAGTGAGAAAGCAAGCTACCAGAACTGGGACCTGAACTGGGGTTGGACATGTGGGAGTCCAGCACCTTAACCACAATGCCATCTGCTGGCCCCTGGATAAGCCTCTTTTAACAACTAAATGCTATAATATTATACTTTTAATTTCTGGACTTTTATTTTTTTCTGGATGTTGATTTCCTTATTTAGGAAATTTAAAATTTTTCCTTTTTCAGGAAAATTAAAATCTTTTTTATTTTATTTTTTAAAAGAATTATTTTATTTAACTTTTTTAAAATTTTTTTGAGAGGTTTTTGCTATAGGGCGCATGTGCTCGCCAGACAGACACAGAGAGACAGAAAGCGAGAAATCACCCCCCAGGAGGGATGGCCACACCACAATCCCTTCTCCTCCATTCTCCTCTTGGGATCTTGGGCACGCACGCACATGCACCCGGTGTGAGTTTAAGCTACCGGGTCCGGGACGTGAACCACGGTCGACTACGTGGGAGTCCAGCAACATAGCCATTAGGCTAACTGCTGGTCCCTCTAACTTTATTTATTTACTTATCTTTTAATTCGACCAGAGAGAGGGACAGAAAGAGAAAGAGAGAAAGTGAGAAAGCAAGCCACCAGGTCCAGGATTTCAGCTGTGGTCAGCCATGTGGGAGTCCAGCGGCTCGAACCACCATGCCACCTGCTGGCCCCAAATCATTTTTAACTTTTTTCTCATTGAGTTCAATTTTACTTTTAAATTTTCCGGGGAAGAAGTATTAAGTATGTCTTCATTTTTCAAATATGTATATATCATTCTTTTTTTCTTTTTTTTTTTTTTTTTTGGAGGGTTTTTTTTTTTTTTTTTTTTTTTTTTTGGCTATAGAGCGTGTGCGCTTGCCCTAAAGACAGAGAGAGACAGAAAGTAAGAAATCACCCCCCAGGGAGGATGGCCATGCCACAGTTCCTTCTCCTCCATTCTTCTCTCAGGATTTCAGGCACATAAGCACATGCGCCCAGTGTGCATTTAAGCCACTGGGTCCGGGACTCGAACTGTGGTCAGCTACATGGGAGTTCAGCGACATAGCCCTTACACCATCTGCTGGTCCCTGTATATCATTCCTTATGTGAGAAAGAATGAAATAGAAGCTAGTCGAGGTATTAGTAAATTATATGTTGCCAGGCAACGTCATGGGTCAGTTTGCAGTCTTACTATCTCTAGGTGGCTAAGATTACTCCCTCCCCCGCCCCCACACGACGTAAGATGTGAAAATTACTGATTTCTTGGAATGAAATAAAACTATGAATTCTCATGACTTTTTGAACTCTGAAGTTTGACAGCCTAGAATGTTGATCGTTTCTCTATTCCTGCCTGTTCTCTTTGTTAGCATCAGAAGTTAATGTCATAATAGAGTAAAGAAGTCCGTGTTTTCCCTTGGCAGTCTGAAGTGTCTGATGAACCATTTGCTGTAACTCCCGCAGGTCCGAAGTGCACATTCCCGCCGTCTCAGTGCAGTTCGGCGTCATCCTGGAAGCTTATTGCCGGGGAAGCGTAGGTCACATGAAAGTGCTTTCCAAACAGGTATCGGCGTCTTTCTGTCTTCATGCTCAGCTTGGTGCTTGGTGGTGTCTTTTGTTTTTAGCTTTTCTTTAAAGGCCCGGTCCTCCTGCTTCGGCTTCTTGTCCGAGCAATGGGTGTAAGCCACCATGCCTGGCTCCCCCTGCAGTCAGGATCTGCTCGCGTTGCCCAGGCCGGCCCTGATTCTCCCGCTGCCTTGGCCTCCCTGAGTGGCTGGGATGATAGAGAGAAAGAGAAAGCAAGCCACCAGGTCTGGGACCTGAACTGCGGTCGGCCATGTGGGATCCAGCGCCTTTAACTACCACATCACGTGCTGGCCCCTAAACTGCTTTTTCAAATTGTGTTATAGTCTATTCAGCCAGAAATCAGAGGCCATCCAGACATGGCCAAAATTATTGGAATTTTATTGATTAAGTTGGCGGCATATGGGGGGGGACTCATGTCTCAAAACCCCACAGTCCCGAGTGGAAGGAGGGGGTGCTTATGTAGGCAAAAATCCCAATCAATTCTGGGTTGATCTAGTGATTCTAATAGAAGCTGAGGAGGGGGTGAAGAGGAAAGGGAGTCGGGTTTTTATGCCAGAGCAGTTACAGAAGCTGAGTCAAGCAGGTTCGTTATTTGTAAGGGCACTCTGCAGACCTTTGTTTAACGGTCCCCATGGCTCCGGGCAGGGTCTGGTGATTGGTGGTCACATTGCTAAGGGACATCTAGACCAAAAGGTTTCGGCTCGTTAGCAAAGACAAAAGGACTAGTAATCACTGTTTGCTCTGGGCAGAGAAGCAAGTGTAACAGAGCTCAGAGGTGGAGGGGCTTCTGCCTCACTTACATGTTTATGCCTGAAATTGGGGTGTTCTCCTGTGGTTCTAAGGTATTACTAATATTATTAGGTAAATTGTTAAGGAAATGCTCACCATAGGCCAGGAGCCACACGAAGTGCCTTAAGTACATAACTCATTTCGCTCCACTTACAGTGTGCTAAAGTAGCTACCAATAGTATCTGCCTTTATCAGGGAAACTGAGACTCTAAGAGAGTTAGTGACAGCAGTTAGTGACAGGATGATGCTTCACACCTAGGTCTATCCGCTTGTAAAGTGGAAGTTCTTGTGTGGCGCTAAATGTTTTCAAACATTTTAGCTGTATAACTCTTTCATTAAAACAAAGTTTATTTATTTCTCCTGTGAGACAGAGAAACAGACATCCCCAGCCAGACCCCTCGGCCACGCTCTACTCCGCACCGCAGCCTGCCTGGATCAAGGGCAGGCATGCACATGCCCAGCTCAGGCCCTCTCCCTGGGGGTTCAGTTCTGTTCCCACCACGCCAGCCCCTGAGTGCCCCCTCCTGCTTCTATTTAAAATTAAACCTTATACAGTTCAGTGTAGGCATTTACCACATAGCAATATTTCGATTAAAGACAGATCTCGTATATCATGGTTGCCCCATAATAGCATGCATGTATGCATGTGTATGTATATGTGTGTGTGTGTATAGTAGACTGTACCAATCTTGGTTTTGTTTTGTTTTTTTTTTCCAGAGACGATTTTGCTATAGGGCACATGCGCTCACTAGAAAGACAGAGAGACAGAAAGCAAGAAATCACCCCCAGGGGGGATGGCCACTCTGCAATCCCTTTTCCTCCATTCTCCTCTTGGGATCCTGGGCACGCACGCACACGTGCCCGGCGTGAGTTTAAGCCACCAGGTCCAGAACTCGAACCACGGTTGGCTACATGGGAGTCCAGCGACATAGTGCCATCTGCTGGTCCTAATGCTTTTTTTTTTTTTTTTTAAGAGAGTTTTGCTCTACAGCACGTGCACTCGCCAGAGAAAGAGAGGCAGAAAGGTAGAAATCACCTCCCAGGGGCAATGGCTTACACCACAGTCCCTTCTCCTCTGTCGTCCTCTCTGGACTTTGAGCACACACTCATGCATCCAGCCAGAGGTTTACACCTCCAGGATCAGGACTCAAACCACAGGTGACTATGTGAGAATCCAGTGACGTGACCATTACAGTATCTGCTGGTCCCACATACTCTTCTAACTCATTCCCATTGACAGAGCTTACATAAGCTCCTATTAGATGTTTCGATGATGTTAAAACAACTATCTCTGATCCCTTCCTTTCGGACAGCTCATGAATGTTGACAGTAATGACTAACATTTAAATCCTCTCACTATGTGCCGCGTAGTCATCACGTCGGATCAGTACTGTTCGTCTCCTCCAGACCACTCTTACATGTGTCACACGCCTGTGTCCCTGCCTCTTGCGCTGTGGCTCCTTCTAGTCCAGCCTGCTCGCCCGGTTCGCCTGGACTTCTTCATTTACCTCCTGTGTTGCACATGAGCCTCCTAATCACACTTCTGCTTTCTGTTCTTGGCATCTTCCTGCACAGGATTCACCTGGAGATAAAGTGGTCTTTCAGAAATGGAGAGTATGTCATTTTAAATATAGATGACATTATGTCATTTCGTTCTGAAATCCCTACAGTAATCTGACATCGCGTGGAGCATAAAATCCAGGTCTTTGCCGTGTCCTACCAGGACCCCCTTGGTGTCGTTACTTGCTTACCGTGTCCTGTGACCGCTGTCTCCCTCCCTCACGCAGTCAGTTCCCACTACTTATTTTCTTGATTTTCTGGTAGCTTCAGCCTAACTTTTTTTGACACTAATGAGATGACATATTTTCTTTTTTTTCTAGACCAGTAAATTGCAAGAGTAAATTGCTCTTTCTATGACAGTTCTTTTTATCATTGTAAATGTATAAAAAGCGTGTTGAAATACTTAGAAATACTTGTCTCATAGTCATGCTGAGTCCAAAACACTGTTCTTAAAAATTGATATCAACGCCTTTTGAGATGGAGCGTGAAAACACCCTACCGTACACACACAGAGGGAATGCGGATTTGAAATAGTTCAACGGTTCCTGTTTGCGTAGCGCGGTTTCCTTCCGTCTCACCCGTCCCACCAGTGTTTGTACAGCTCCTGGTGGTCGAGAAGTGGAGGGTCTGTGGTTTTGACAGATGGTTGACTTGGCAAGCTTCAGCCTTTTCAGTTTTATTTAATTTATTTTTTTGGGGGGGGATTTTTGCTATAGGGCACGTGCGCTCGCCAGAAAGACAGAGAGACAAAGCGAGAACTCACCCCCCCCAGGGGATGGTCACACCACAATCCCTTCTCCTTCACTCTCCTCTCGGAATCTTGGGTACGCACGTACACACGCCCTGCGTGATTTTAAGCCACTGAGTCCGGGATTCGAACCACGGTCAGCGACATAGCCATTATGCTCCCTCAGTTTTATCTTTAAGTTGCATAGAACAGCCCTGATTTCATGTGAGTAAAGTCTCAGCTCTCTGTAGAGATAGTGTGCTTGAATTTACCTCCCTGTGTAGGCTTAGTGGCGTCCTTACCTAGATACAGCGTTCAGAAATGAAAACGTGGGTCCAGCGAGTGGTGTGGAGGTTAAAGAGTCTGGATCCCATGTGTCCAACGTGCAGTTCGAGTCCCGGGCCCTGTGGCTAGGAAAATGATGCTGGGTGTATGTGTACGGATACCCAATTCCCAAGAGAAGGAGAGGAAGGGTCTGCGGCATGGCCATCCTCTTTGGGGGTGATTTCTCACTTTCCATCTCTGTCTATCTCTGTCTCTAATGAGTGCATGTTCCCTATAGCAATACTAAAAAAAAAAAAAAGAAATCTCTTATTCATGTGATTGAAGCCATGGTATTTGTCGTCTTTGTTTTATACATATTGTATGTTTATAGCACAAATATTTTATGTATGTTATATGCAATTACATATTTCTGTGTTTTTTTAAAAAAGAATTATTTAATTTAATTTTATTTGTTAATTATTATTCTTCAATTTAGCCAGAGAAAGAGGGAGAGTGAGAAGGCTAGCCGCCAGGTCCGGGATTCAAACCATGGTCGGCCATGTGGGAATCCAGCACCTTAACCACCACACCACCTGCCAGCCCACATATTTCTGTTTTTTTTCACTTGTGATTTCCAGTTTTAATGATATGCTCATGAAAAGATGCTTCTTTTGATTTATGGTGGCTAGGATTGTTTCTTTTGAATTTTACAAAATACTACATGAAAAGGCCCTCGTTTATTAAACAATAAAACTGACACATACTGGTTTTTATTTAGTTGGCCAGTATTGATCCACCTTGTACTACTTCCATAATTGTGTTTCTTTGCATGAGCTTTATAGCTATAGTCACCTCATAAAAGCAAGTCATTTAGACTTAGGCACCAGTTATGGTGTCTCCGTGCATACTCACTCATACTCGGCCATCTAGTCTGTCCTGTTCATGGAAAGAGGGTC